AAATATAAAACTTAACGTCATCAATTTCTTTCTTGTTAGGTAGATTTCAAAAATATTAATTTTTCATTTATTAAATAAATTTATGTAGGGTTTAACTGTAAATTTAAAAAAAAATTGTATTTTAATTGTATTTAAAATTGAAATACAGAATTTTTAATAATGTACAGTTTACCGTGTAGGGTTTTTACAGTGTAGAGTTTAAATATATGTAATATTGCAACCGCCATATTAAATTCAACCAAATAAATTTTTTTTATTGCAAAAGTTTTACCGAAATTATTTTTCCATATATTTGATAATTTATATAAATAATTCTATGATAGAACCCATTGTATTTTTGCGTTCATTATTTGTATTCCAATACAAAAACTTGAGATGACAATACTTTGGTTCGAGTTAAATATATTATATATGAGTATACATATATGATAAACAAAAAGATTAAAAAAAAAAAAAATAGTGAAAGAAAACCGGCAAATATTACACGGTTATAGGCGATGATGTAACGGAACGTTATGAATATGTAGAAAAATAACAAATGCTGGTATTGATATACAAAAGGACAGAGTCGGGATGTACCACGCGTTGTTCCGCTTGTCACGGTGTCATCACGTTGGCACCGTTTCTGTGCACACTACGTGCAGAAACTATTAAAACATTCCGTTTTCGATTTTTAGTGAGCTTTCGTCTATTTTGCAGTTTGGTGTATATATTCATCATATATGGTAAACAATATATGTAAAACTTATTGCGTCGGTATTATGTTACACAATATTATTTTCATAATTAATTTATAAACTAAGAATATTTTTTGGAGATAAAGTTGATTTTAGAAATTGTTTGATACAAAATTCTTGTCTGGTGGTGAAAGCGTCTGATGAACGCGAGATTCTCATTAATCGTAAGCTTTTTGCACCTTATTTGACATGGAAGCGCGCTTCGTTGGGCCATTGCCACTGAATCTCCCTATCTTTATCACCCTCATTTCTTTTTGTCTCTTTCCACTTGGCTCTCCCTTCTTTTGAACGAACCGACAGTCCAAACTGATGCTATGGTTGAAAACAAAAAATGTAGCAATAAATAACGAAGCGAGAGCGGCGGCTGTACAAGGGCGGCAGGTAGCATTGCTGGGGAATTTCGTTGTTGTTAAGGTGGCACTGCGCATCACCGATGTTAGACAGGAAGAGGAAACCACTGAAGCAATGTGTTTATATAAAGGTGATAGAAGCACAAAACTGGAAAGGACCCAAGGGTGTCACTATTCTAATCACTATCATAAATCTTCATTCAAAATTTGAAAGTTTTTTAATTTTTTGGAGCATTGATAAAAATTGTATAAATTATGCAAAATTACAAGGTTATAGAAAGAGTTTTTGGCGAAATAATGGATGATGCGTTTTTGGAAGGCATTTGGCAGGCGGACCCCACACGAGGAAACGTCGAGCAAGGCGCCAGCTAATTCGATTTGCTCAGTTGCCGCGCGTCCCTTTTAACCCATAAGCTGGTTCGCCCACTTCTCTAGCCCTAAAAACGTCAACACACTCGGCGGGAGGGCGTTCTCTTGCTGATTATTGCCGCTCGCGAACAGAACCCCCGCGAACACCGAGTTCAACCTGATGACGGATTAGTTTGTTACTGCCTTCGGCACGGGGTCTCGTTTCCACAGGTAGTGTATATATACATATATATATATATATATGTGTAGAGGGAATCTTTGATACACACAATCTGTGGACAGATTGGATTATTCATTGGTCCCCAGGGGTTCCTGAACGGGACTAACTAGAGATAATAACTTGATATGACTACATCTTTGATACCGCAATTAAGTCCTATATACATTGATTTTCTTCTGCATTGCAAAACTGTAGGGTAAAACCAAAGGTAGATGGATATTTTTTTTCGTGAAAATAAAATGAAATCGATTCCTGTATTATTGTTAATTGATAACTAAACATTAAACTCTTAACTATCAAATCAAATATCAAATTATAAAGAATCGTAAAATTAATATTTTTACAACACTTAAAATTACCTTTGGCTCCATCGCTTCATCTCAGTTGATTTAAAATGATTTATCGAACTTTTTCTAATTTTTGAAAATTTTTATTCTGTACAATTGCCAAAAATTACACTACAGTGGAGATGTAAATGTTTTACTTCGAAAGAATTATAAAAATTTTTATAAAAATGTTTTCTTTTGAGTAATCAACCCACAATGTTTATCGGTTATTTAACTATCGCACTTATATAATTGCACCCACTGAACGTCGTCTATCCACCTAACACCTAAAAGCCTCAATTAAGGACCTGTTCTGTTTAGATTATGCAAAAAGCATTTAGTTGTCGGCCAAAGACAAATTGAATGTTATTTTTTTAACTTTAAACAGAAAATGGCAGTTTTCACACTTTAAATGTATAATAATAATATAGCAATATATTTGAAAAATAAATATTTGTTTATAGAGATTTTAGATCTGTATTCTATAAGAAGTTAGTTTAATATTCTTTTCTTGTGTAGTAAACTAGAGAAGTTTATTTTAATCCAAATATGTAATCGGTTATAACTAATTTATAGTAAATTTGTTTTTATTTACTATATGTTTAATTCCAAGTCGTTTACCGCAACAATTGTTATCAATATGTTTTAATCTCAAAAGGCCTGACTGAAATGAGAACTTTTCTTTCTGTAAGAAATTTTAAGAAAGAAATTTTCTAAATGTAATGTATATAATTTGAAGTAAAATAATTAGTGTTGTATGTTAAAACTATTCTATAAAAAAACAATTGTATACAAGAAAATAAAAATAATATCCCTCACTTATACTTATCGTTACGTCATGTAAAAATTTATGACTCGACTTAATCTCATCAACCGCATATCACTTTTTCGCTTTGGAGTGAACTTACGTGTAATTGCATATAATCGTTCACCACCGATCTTAATTGACAGGAAAGCAATGGCTTTAAAACAGTCGCAGTTTTGTTGATAGTGTATGGTTTTAGGCCCAAGTCGATATCGATAATACATATATTGTATATAAACGCTATTTTTATTTGACAACTCACAATTTAGTCACTTTCAAAACGGAGGGGGGTTTAAATAAAAATATTAAAAAAAATATTATAGATTTTTCTTAATCTTATTTTATAGACAAGATTTCATGTTTATATTAAAATATTTTCTGATTAAAGCAACCCAACTTTTTCTCTAATACAAAACCATCACTTAAAGCGATTTTATGCTCATTATATATGCATCAGCAGCGGTGCGATCGACATCAGTGCTTGTAGTACCAAATTTGCCTGAAGCTAATGCTTGAAAAGCAAATTTTTCAGAAGCGTTGTTGCCTGTATATTCTTCACAGTCTTTTCGTGGAATCAGAGTGTGTAATTTTTCTAAAACAGAAGGGGCAATTTGTATTTGTGGTAGAAAATACATATACATATATATAAAAATTTATATATAATGTTTTGGTAGCGTATGTATATGAGTAAGAAAAACGTAATTCTGCTCAAGAGACGCGCAGCTTATATATATATATATATGTTATATATTTTGCAGTCAACCACCTTCCTGAAGAGATGACCACGTGTTCGTTTCGTAGCACACTTATTGGCTTCTTTATATTTATATATTCCATTTCGAGACATCATACTAAACTTTTCTTATATACATTAGTATGCATTTTCAACAAGTTTTTGCTCCCTTATTCTCTTCTTTTTCTCATATATTGTATGCGCCCTTCTTTCTTCTCTTCAGTCTCAATAAAATAGAGACAATATGATATTCGTCTCGAAATATATAGTGGACAGGTGTTGAAACTTGTAAATTAGATAACTTTTTAAACGAAAATAAAAATTTCTTCACACAAAAAAGCTTATTTTTGAAGTCTACTAACTTTTTATTTATTTCAAAAAAAAATTTTATTTTATTGTTTTTGCATACGAAAGATTCTTTTATTTAGTCATTTTTATTTAATTTTGTATTATAAAACATGTCTTTTTGGATAAAATTGAAAAAAAATTTTATAAAAAGTTTAATAGAAAAGATGGAAACTTGTCTTGTTTCTAAACATGTGTTGTGCAAGTAAAGCCAAGTAGTACAATTCTTTTGAGGTTAGACGAACCCGCAATGCGGTTTTATAATGGACTCTTTTTGACGTGAATATATTCCATCCATAAACTCTTTTCGCTCTGTTTCGCGCTATACTATATTTGTGTACCCTTTTTTTCATCCCTTCGAGTATTTTTTTAAATTTTTTCTTTATATGCTCAGTATGCGGCAAATATGTTTTAATTACATTATTATCAATTCCAAAAAAGTATATAATACAAAAGTCCTAATCGATTTTACATAAATTTATAAAAAAAAATAATCACAGGAAAAAATTGGATTCATTTAAAAAAATTTTTTTGTATGAGGAGTATATAAAAGTAACCATATGGAAAATGAACTTTCTGATTCAGAATTGTTTTATTCAATGTTTATTTGAAAAAAAGGTTTAAAACAAATAAATATTTATGCTTTAAACAAATTTTGTATATAGCATCGATTCTCTGAGTCAGAATCGTCATTACACAGTATAATTAAATACCAAAGATATTCTCTCATCGGAAACCCATCTTCGTTATAATCAGTGTCTTCCGATCAGCGATAATTGACTGAACAAGATTTTTTTTTTAATCAAAGCGCATTCTTTCATTCTTTTGTATCGTATACATTTTTTTTTTACTGACATTGTTACGTAAGATTATATGACGACGTAGATATATACACACACACTCATCACTGATTATATAGATAAATATGGCATAGTGGGAAAAATAATATGTTTTGATATATACAATGTATGTATATGTATATATATGTACACTAATCCAACCTTGTACTTTCATCTAATATAAAAATTGAGAAAAAAAATTTAATCACATTTTTTTTTTGCTCATATTTGATTGATGTGTTATAACTAATGAAAGAATAATTTTGTGTTTTCCAGGTGAAAATATGGTTTCAAAATAGAAGAAGTAAATATAAAAAGATGATGAAAGCGGCACAGCAAGGTGGAGGTGGCGGCGGCGGTGGTCAACATGGAAATATCTTGGCCGGTGGTACGACGTTGCCTGGAGGACCATCTCCTCAACCTGGTCAACCAGGAGGTCTCATGCAAGGAGGTAATTTCAACAAGTTTTATTAACTCTATATTCTAATCGGTAATGTATTAAATTTTTTAGTTTCGAAATTTTAACCCCTTCGTAGTCGAGGCCAAAATCTCATAAGTGGGCCCAAAATGTCAGTAAATTTTTGTATAACCAAAATTTGTGCAAATGTGTACACTATGGTATTTAAGGTCGCTGATTACGATTCCAAAGTCAGATTTCAAAAATTCAAAATGGCGTTACCAATGTGGCAGATAATTTTTTCAAAATTTAAAAATTAATTAAAATTACTTGAAATCTGTTACTCAGGGGTTTTGAACGTCGCTGATGTTTACGATATTCAAGTCAGATTTTGAAAATTCAAAATAGCATAGTATGGGTGTGATTATTATTGTATCCATTTTGAATTTTGAAATATTGTAATTCTGACATCAAATTCGGAATCAGCGACCCCAAAAACCCCCGAGTAACGAGTTTCAAGCGAATATGGTCAATTTTCAAACTTTTTGGTCGCCATATTGGATCCGCCAATTTGAATTTTGTAAATCTGACATCAAATTCGGAAGCAGCGACCCCAAAAACCCCCGAGTAACAAATTTTAGGCCAATTCCGTCTTATTATTGGACTCAAAATTTATGTGCGTGTATACACGTCATCGACACCCAAGGGGTTAAGCGACTTATTTTTATATTTTTTATTCTGACATTTATTATTTTGAGGTTAGAATAAAGGCCAACGTTAAATAGTTTTACGAAAGGATTAATTGCCATTGGTCCCACTCGATATTTCTCATAATTCTCGTCAACTACCGCACCCTGATCTAGTAAAAATTTAGTAACTTTATAGTAACTTTAAATTTTAATAATAGTCACTAAATTTTTACTAGAGCAGGGTGCGGTAGTTGACGAAAATTATGCCAAATATTAAATATCAATATGTCAACCAACCAAAATCGTTTGCGAACGTGAAGCATAAATTAGAAAACGACAGAGATACATTTGTGTCTTTTTCAATCTCATCTCGTTCGCAAATCGATTATTGTGGATTGGCCTTAAAATTATGCAAATGGCGAACACAGGGTTGGGCGTCAAAGTTTATCTAGATCTTATAACTTATACACCCAATTGCATAAATGCTGCGTCCTTCCGATTTGACGGCATTTTGAAAAGTCGTGACACTTCTATAATAATTTTATTAGTTTATAGCGTATATGTTGTAATTATGTATATAAATCATATGCCATAAACTAATAAAATTATTATAGAAGTGTTACGTTTTTTAAAAATGCAGTCAAACCGGAAGGTCAACATTTATGCAATTGGGTGTAACTAGTTACTAGATCTCGTACGATTAAATTAGGGTGAAATCACACTGGTCGAAGTTGCCATTCGCCATTTGTAATAATTCACGGTCAACTACCGCACCCTGCTCTAGTGAAAATGTAGTGATTCTAGTTAAAATTTAAAGTTACTAAATAGTTACTAAATACTAGAGCAGGGTGCGGTAGTTTACCAAGAATTAAAACAAATGGCGAATTGCTAGCAAACAGAATATATTAAGTCGAAGACAAAACATAGAAAACTAGTTTTGAATCTATTAAAACTAAAGAAATACTAATTTTTTATTCAAAATAAGAAATTAGTTCTCACTAGATGTAAGACTTATTTTTTTTTTTTTATAAAATTGTAATAATTTGGTATATTTGTTGTTTCAGGAGGCGGCAGTTCTGTGTCGGGAAGCCCAACAACGGGGTATCTCGGTGGCATGGGCGGCGGCGGTGGGGGTCACACCCCCGGTAGTTCGAGTCCTGGAAGCGACATGTCGCCTCAGCACAACGAAAGTCCTCCTGCTCCCTCCTGGCCAGGAGAAATGAAGCACCATCCGCACCCTCATGCACCGCCTCACACCCATCACCATCCTCATACGCCCGGTCATCATCCACCACCCCCGCCGCCACCACCACATCACGCGGGCTACATGCCGCAGTACTCTTGGTACCAGGCGGATCCTAATCCAGGATTACTCACGTAAGTACTTCATTTGAGGTTAACATACTTAATAGACACTTTTATTAAGCGCGTGCAATTCATTTACCAATTCAAATTAAACTAAAGCCACAAATCTATATTTTTTTTTACATTTCATCAATAATTTTACGATTATTTAAGAATTTAAAATTCATATTTTTTATGACACATTATTTGTTAGGCTGCTTTCAGAATATAGTTAAAGGTGCAATATTTTTGCGAAAGGCATAAGGGAAACTAAAGTATGCGTTAGAAAAGAACGGAGATATATTTGTGTCTTTTTCTATCTCGTTCACAAAGCAATTATACATTGGCCCTGAATCGAATCGTCATGAAGACGATGCGCGCGCATCTATTGCCTACTGTCGACAAAAAATTTATTTAAATTACGATTCTCTATTTTATTTTCATTATAAAATCAATTTTTACCAATGAAAATAATTTCAATTTAAAATTTTTACTGTATAAATTTTTTAATGTAAATTTTAACATTGACCTCCAATTGAGTGTTATAGAATTTTTTAAAATGTAATTTACAGGATTTTTTCAGTTTCAAAAATTAAATATTAAAAGTTTTAGAGTTATTTAATACTAGAATACTGTTTTACTGTCATTTTGAGATAATAAATAAAAGTTTAGAGTAACAAAAATTCTTTACATAATTTTTATTATCAATTTATATTTTTGGATAGAAATTTGACAAAAGAAATTTTTTTTATAATTTTAATAATATTAATAACAAGCTGAAATTTTAGGAATAGTAGAACACGTGAAATAAATAAATAATATTTTTTCTCGACAGTTGGCAATGGATGCGCGCGCATTATCTCATTGTAAAAAATTGCCTTCAAGACGATTCTATACAGATATTGTGGAATCAGCTTTACAGTAGGTTAGGTTAGTTTCCATTGTTCCCACTCGACATTTGTCATAATTTAACTACCGCATCCTGCTCTAGTGAAAATTTAGTGATTTTATTGTTAAAACTAAAGTTACTAAATTTTCATTAGAACAGGGTGCGGCAGTTGACGAGAAATATGACAAATGGCGAGTGGGGATAAAAGAAGAAAACTGTAAAGGTGCTTTTATACCTCCAGTATTTTGGTCAGGCAATTGGCTGGATTGAATTTTCACGGAAAATCACTGGAGGTTTTATATATAAAAGCACCTTTATACTATTTTCACGGATAAACATTAGAAAGTGCCTAAAGACAAAATAATAATATTCAATAAGACAAATGAAATTCAGCATCTTTGATCTTATTTTAATTAATTGACTATATGGACCATTTAATAAAAGATTTAAAGGAACATTTATTTTTAAGGTTATGTTTGTTACTCTCGACTGACGCTTAAAAAATTTAATGTGGTTCAATTCATTGACATATAACCTCAAATTAAATAATTATTTTTAACGATAAATAAAACTTTAATTCAAATTGATTTAATCAAATTTTGAAAGATTCAGTTGTACAATTTGAAAAAAAAAATTATTTTTAGGCAAATATTATTTTTTTTAACTTAAAAATTAACTTTTAAAATTGTTAATCGAGAAGCGTTGCAAAAATGTTTTTAAATTGAAATTTATAATAATTTGCATAAAAAAATATTTTTTCTTCTAAATCGTTAATTATAAACGTTGTGAACTTCACTGACTTTAATTTTGGTAAAACGGTTAAAACATTATTGAACAAATAAAATTTTTTAAAAATATTTTCTAAATAAATTATTATTTAACAAAAACTAACACTGAAAATTGTGGAGAATTTTTCAAAATTTTTCAAATTTTTAATTAACGAATTTTTTATTTGTTAGAATTCTGAAAATGCCGAAATTTTATTAGTCTGAAATTGCATATGATCAAACAAACAATGGACAGAAAATTTTTGGCGCTTTTTTTAAAATTCACCAATCACAATTTTTTTTTATAATTTCTGTTTGGTCAATTTTAATAATTGTGACAAAATCTTTCTGTCGCTTGTTTGTTCGGTCATTTGTGATTTCGGACAAATAAAAATTAGGCGTTTTAAAAATTTTATACAATAAAAATTCGATAAATAAAAAGTAGTTTAAAAAGAAATTCTATCAAATTCTAAATTTAATAATGAAAATTTATCTAAAAAATAATTCTATGGAATAATTATAAGTCGAAAAGATTATTATTATTATTTTTTTTTTACTAATATTAAATAGATAGAAATTATAAATAATTAATCTCTAAAAAAAATTAAAAAGTATATATACATAAATGCATTTCATATTAATGCTTCAAATATTTTAATTAGTCGCTTTCATAAAATCACTTTGACTGTAGCAACAACTTTTAACCTTTCGACCTTTATGTAAATTTGTTACAGCGTAATTACATTGTAGTCTATTGTTTTTTTTTTGCATTCATATTTACTTTTGCATATTAGAAAATTATTATACAATGTTCATTGATATTTAGATAGTATTGACAAAAATTGTATAATAATAATTTTTTTATTTTTTTTTTTACAGAGTTTGGCCAGCAGTTTAACGAAGATATCTAATCTAATGAACCATTGTTCAGGAAGAAGATTTTTCGTAATCCAAAGGACACCCAGTGCCCAAAGTGTTTATACATAGCCTCGAGAAATCGAGTAAAAATGTTAATAATTATTATCTGTAGAAATTGTCATGTCGCTTCACGCACACAGAATAATAAGCTTCAAGTATGTGGTGCGACGTTGCGATTTCAGCGATAGGTGAAATTAATAATTGAAATGTTGACTTTACCATGGTCAAAAAGAAGAAAGAAAGAAAGATAGAAAGAAAAAAGAAAAGGTTTTTGTAAAGTAAAGTGCGCGTATTTGAACCGTCGTTAATTAAAACAATTCCATGCGAAATGCCGAATATGAGGACGATCTTATTTGAATTTTAGTGATCAGTGCCCAGTGACGCGTCCGTCAAGTGATAATGTACAAAGAAACATTTTGAGATAAAAAATATATATCTCAAAATGTATGAAATACACTCTCCTCGTCTGATCGTGAATTAAATGTAATAACTACTGGACAAATTAAAGGCAAGTTTTACCTCGAAAAAAATTCTAGTGATAATTCAAATATGATAATGCACCGAATATGTTCTTGAAAATTTATATTTTCAAAATAAATTAAATTTGTCAATTTTGTAAAAATTCAATAATAAAAAATTTATTTCTGAATTTTAAATATAAAAAAAATATATTTATAATTGGCTGACAATTTGAAACATTTGAAAATTATCTTTGAATTATTTTCTTAAACTATATAAAAGTCGACAATGCTCCTGGGATGTATCGTGAAATATAAAATATTCTTTAAATAAGTTTCTTCAGAGATTTTCTATAAATAAATATTTGACAATAAAATGTGGTTCAACTTAAGAGTATTAAGCGATTGAAATTAATTTTATCAAAATGATAATTTTCAAATGATTCGATTTCTTGCTCAGAGAAAGAAAAATTAAAAAAAAAAATGTTTTGAGAAATTCATTATTAAATTATAAGAAACATTTTCAAATTCACAATTCGATTTCGCATATCTTGTCAAATCAAAAAGGTAACTTGGTCGATTGCTAATTTTAATTAATAAAACGGTCACTCAACGACCTACTTCGTGTCTAAATCTCGCAAATGAAATTCTAATGACATTTTCGTAAAAGTCAATTTTATCGAACCAATCTTTAATGATGCAATGATAAATCTGAAGAAGCTAAAAATTAAAAAAAAAAGTATTCTAAACGGTACTCATATGTGCTACTTTTATTTCTATTATTATTATTTTTAAAGTTATTCTTAGTATTAGTTCTATTATTAAAGTAGCAAGAGTGAATCATTTCAACACATCTTCCTTAAAAATCAAAATTTTTTAAATAAAAATTTTTTTTTAGGTATATTTTGAACGCAAAATGTGAAATCACATTTTTTAGAAGAAAAATATTTTTTAAATTATAAATATTTTGATATTTATTTATAGTCTTTTTTTAATATTCTTAGTATTAATTTTATTTCATTTTGAATTTTATAAATTTTAAAAGTGTTTTTTTTTTTGCACTTAAATTGTCTCTTTTTTTCCATTACGCAATGCGTCAACTTGGAAAGAGACTCAATATGAGGTAAAACCACAAAAAGAGCGATTGCGTTCGCGAGTCACGAGAATCACGAAGGGACCGGTGAGCTCTGTCAGTGACCCAAATCCAAGGCACGACAATGGTAGCCTCATGAGAATGCGGTCTGATAGATCCTTTCTTTTTTAGTCTCACTCTTTCTCTATACTTGTATTTCTTTCTATATATATATGAAAGAAAAAAAAGCAAGAGAGGAGGTTGATCAAAACTTTATTCATTTTTACAAATTCAATTTTCTTTTCAACATTATTTCTGCCAGAATATATTAAATAAAATAATGTGATATTTAAGGAATTGATTCTTAAAAATTTATACCAAGTTCAATAATAAAAAAATTTTCATTGTATATTAAAAAAAAAAATTTAATTTAGAAAAAAATAAAACACTTTAAATTTAATCAAGTCAAAATTTTGACTTTTTTTTAACATTTTGACTAATCACTATTTTAAATTTCGACTTGTTTAAATTTAAAGATAATATAATTATTGTTAAGTAAAAAATGTTTTTATAATATATTGTTTAATTATAAATAAAAAAAAAAGAAAATCATTATTCTTAAAAAAACTGAATTTTTAGAATTATATAAAATTCAAAGACTAATTTTATTATATATATATATATATAAATAAATATTTTTTAAAAAAATTAAAGTTATTTATTTCGTTTGATAAAAAATTTATTTACTAAATTATTATTATTTTTTTCAAATATCATATATACTCGATAGCAGATGGTTTATCGATATGAATGAAATATAAACGTAAAATGTCATTACGAACTCAAGCAAAATGCGCAGTCTATTATATAAAAAAGAAAAAAAAACAGCGAAGTAGTAAAGTCGTAATAAATTCTTTCGGTGCAATAATATACGAAGAAAAAGAATTGAGTAATTTAAGATGAAAATTCTTCAGTTCCTAAATAATAGAGAGGAGATGTATAAATGATGCGTGTTGAATTAATAAGTAAAGACAATTTGACGAGACGTAGTTTTTCAATTTGCGCGCGTATGTGTGTTTGATTAGACGAATGTTATAAGGGGGAAAAGGCGACATTAAAAAAAGACAAAAAAAAAAAAAACTACGAGTCTATACAGTTTTTTTTTCCTAGCATTGCTAGTAATAGAGAGAGAGGTGGGGGAGACGAAATTCAATTGTGCGCAAACGGGTCGCAAGGCAAATCGATTTCAATTGTATATACCAAGCCGGGACCCCTTAGCTTGTAAGATATAAGTGGATCTATGTAAAATACGATGTTGTGATAAGAGTGTAAAAATGGAGAAAAATTGTTTATTTAGGGCATGAAAACAGACCCTCCCCTAGCTATCGATTTCACTGAATACCCTTGTACGAAAATAGATATTACGGAAAACTAAAATACCTTAAATATGATTACTGTTGTATAAAGTATGAATAATAACTAAATAATTCAATTTAATATATGGTTGTTGTATTTTATCAAAACTATCCTTTCATTTCTCCTTCCTTTATTTTTAATTAAGATTTTTTTTCACTAACATATATACAAATTAATATAGAAAAAAATATTTTTAGAATAGTTATTTTTTTTATTCATCTAAAAAAATAAATATTGTTAATATTGTTCAATGTAAGAAAATTTTTTTTTCTACTACCTTTTAACCTTTAAACTGCAACAGCGGTCTCTCAGACCTATCTAAACATTTTTTTTACTTTTTTCAAAAGTATAAATAATTTTTCAGTAGCTTCATATTTTATTAAAAAATTGTTAGGTGCCCAAGAAGTAAAAACTTATTCACTTGTTTGAATCAATTGGGAGCTCCGGCAAAAAGGTTGGAATTAAAAAAATCAATTCCATTTAATACCTGATTTTTTTTTTATTTCGTAAGTCTATGTAAGGAATAGACAGCAGCAAACTTGAATCCCTTTTAATTCCGTTTTCGTAAAGCGTGCAATATGAAATAGAATATATTTGAATGAATAAAAAATGTTTTATTAATAATTTATTTATTGAAAAAAATCTGAGTTATTTGTTTTTACTCATAATCAACATTATTCCCATAAAAAAGTGAAGGCGACTATATCATATTCTACACATAACCTAAAAAAATTGAGACAATATATATGTTCAATTTTTGATGCATCACGTTTAAATTTAATTAATCTTTACAAACATCATATTCACTGTAAATTATTTATTATTTTCACATTGAACAGAAAAAACACAACAAATTTATTCACTATTACATACTTCTAAATAAAATGAGCGAATTATTTTCGATACACACATAAAAGGTCCAATTGTCATTATAATAGAAAACACACTTACCGACTTTTACGTAATAATGCAAAACGAATTTTAGAATTAAGTGGAGTTCATTTCGTTGGCCATCTATATCTTATTTCGATGACTTCGAAAAAGTGGAAAAATCAGGTATTAAATTTTTTTTTTTGTTATTTAATAATTCATGTTGATAAAAAAATTACGAAATATGGCAACATTTATTCAAAATTTTCGATATTATTCATAATTGTCAAAATAGATTCAGTAAATTTCTTATTAATGAGAAATTAATCATTAAAAATGAATTCCTATTCTTGAAGGCAATTCAATTAACCTTCTTTTTTTGTCGAGTGATAATAAAGGCGCATTCAGATCTCTCGGCTGCCTGCCTGCCTGCTGCAGTTGCCATGGTAACATAATGGGAGTGAGTGAAACAGACGAAAAATCGACTTGGGTTGGTTTCCATTGTCCCAACTCGACATTTGTCATGATTCTCGTCAACTACCGCACCCTGATTTTAGTGATAATTTAGTGACTTTATTTTTAAAAGTAAAAGTTACTATAAAGTTACTAAATTTTCACTAGAGCAGGGTTGCGGTAGTTGACGAGAAATATAATAAATGGCGAGTGGAGACAATGGAAATCAACCACTTGAAGACAATTTTTTAGGATGAGATGAGTACACTTTTGGCGGTATATTGCTTACACTTTTCTGTCCTTGTCTCACGTACGTGTTGTCATGGCAACACATAAGTTAGAAAAGCACAAAGAAGTGTAGGCGCAACTAGTTCTGTCAGTCAACATAACCTGCAATTATTGTTTAGACGTTTTCATGTTTCTGTAATAATACGTGTCATTACATAAATTAAAATCACTGAAAAAACTTAAAAAAAAGGAATAGCAGTCTATCAGACATGCAAAGCAGTAACTGTAATTTTTTTTACCACTTTAAAGATACGTTAATTAAAATAAAATTTGCTATTTTCGACACATCAAAGAGCGATAAAATTATCGCTAAATTTCTTAATTATACATTGATTCATGTATCAAAATGTTATGTTCCATATTCCTGATATGGAAATTTCTACTTTGCCTATAAACATATACGCATGCTCTACTTTTACATAGATAACTGTATTTCCATTTCTCTCTCAAGTAATTGAAAGATTCACCGGTTTCAGTAGTACTCGCAGTGTATCTTGTAAAAGACAATTTTCTTGACGCATCGAGAAATTGCAAATGGAATTTTGCAATTTGATAAATATTTTTTGGATTTGTTCATTATGTATTTATATATTTTTGCATATAGGCAAGATTAGCACCTATAGCATTTGAAAATGTTCACCAACAACAAAAAAAAGGTACACCCTACTTTCTTGTAAATTGTAAACGATGGTCGCGCGTTTAGATGTGGTAAAACTTATATATATATACGACGCGGCATCCGTATGCCAACCGACCAGGTTTACGACAATACACAGCATAAAAGTCTTACAAGATACTCCAAGCACAAAGACGCACAAAAGCGTTCACAATAAGGCGCCGGCTTCTTGAAAAGATTACGTTGAGTGCTTGTTTATTTGCCTCTTCTTTTGCTCTCCAACCATAGAGGTATACCTATGTATACGATGAGGATGTGCAGGAATTTACCGTTTTGTGCAATTCGACACTTTGACGATAAACGATTAAAAAAGACCTATTCTTCTAATATATGCGTATAAATAAGAATAATATAGATTCGATTACTATTATTATTATTATTATTTTTATTATTAAAAATTGAAAAATATCAGTCTTTTTCGAATATTGTCGTTGATAATTAAAATTTTTTTTAGTAAAACGGTAAATTTTCCACCAAAATGCTGTCTTCAATATTTTTGAGGTTACGTTTATGCACAGAACAAAAGTTTGAGTATTTTTTTTTTAATTTTTGATAATATACTTTACCAAATTTTTAGGGCTTCATTTAAAGACAAATTTTTAATAAGAAAGTGATTTTTTAAAAAATGGACTTGCGTGTTGTTTCTACACAAACTGATTCATTTACATCGAGAAAAAAGATTTCTTTGATTCAAAGAAATCAATTTCTTTGACAAATTTTTCTTTAACTTAAAGAAAATTTATTTGTTTCAAAAAATTATCATTGATTAAAAAAAAAATTATCTTCGCTTCAAAGAAATTTGTTATTTAATTCAAATAAATGTTTTCTTTGATCATATATATATCAATGTTTGAATTTCTTTGATAATGTTCAAATTTCTGTCATTCAAAAAACATTTTTTTGAATCAAAAAATTTTTCTTTTAAACTAAGAAGTTTTTTTTTGTTTCAAAGAAAACTTTATTTTGAATGAAAGAAAACAAGTCAAAAAAACTGGTTTCTTTAAATCAGAGAAATCTTTTCTCTGGGTATATATAGTGACTCTGAATTCCAGTTATTTAAATCAGTAATTTTAACTCTATAAAATTAGTAAAACTTAACTATAATTTTATTATATATTTGTATACATTTATTAACGCATTAACACGCATATATATTTGTTCATTGAATAATATATCTGATTTGATGAAAGGATAATTGTTTCTTTATTTTGTAGGTCAAAATTAAGTAAACACTCTTCACTACATATAAATAATTATAGTGTTTGTTAAATTTCCATCTATATAAAATGACAGGGCCGGGATTACGACTAGCAATGCTGCTAAGTTAGCAATTATTGCTAATTAGCAAATATAACTTAACAAAATTTCATGACATTTGTAGGAAATTTATCCCACAATCACATTTTATTGCTATTTGGTAAAAAAAATTAAGTACAAGCTTATACAATAGAAATTAAAATCAAGTTAACCTAAAAAACGAGCAAATTGACACCAAATTTTTGTCAAATTGCTCGGATTGATAGCAGTGAGCATGAAAACAATTGAAAGATTTCATGCAACATAACCATTTCAATTGCTTAATCATATACAGGGTGGCAAGAAAAATGTTAATCATTTATAAGATATTAATTATGTATTATAAGTACAATAAAATAGAAGATTGAATAATAAATAATTAAATGAAAACGTAAAAGAATCAAAATGAAATAATTATTTAATTAAATATATTAAACCATAATAAAAAAAAATAAATTATAAATAATGAAATGTTTCTCGAAAATATTATGATTATTTATTAAATAAAAATAATTATATTAATACTATCATATTAACAATATTTATGAAATGAAATGTTTAAAGTCTTTTTTTTGAATTAATATGAAATCAAATATTTCTATTCTTATCAATTAATATAGTTTTTAAGTGTGTATTTTTCTGTAAATAATTCATAGGTTAACCTAAATCTGTCAAATGATTAGAATTTTATCGAACACCCGGTATAAATATTTTTTTCCAGCGTGAATATAACTGACATTGCCAACTAGCAGTTTGCTAACTTAGCAGTATTGCTTGTCGTAATCCCGGCCCAGAATAGACTGTAAATAAAAAAATCATAAGAGTAAAATTTTTATTTTTTATATTTTTTAAACAAACCATTATTTAACAAAAACGGAGAAAAATGAAAAAACAAAAATAAAGTAACTTTTACTCTACTTTAAAAGTAAAACCAGAACTGTCCGCAGTTTCTGTGCATTTCGGTCAATTTTTACTCCAAAAATAGTAAAATTTAATATTTACGGCATAATTTTTACCATTTTTTCGAAGTAAATTTTTACTATTTCTAGAGTAAAAAATGGCCAGACTTGCGCAGAAACTGCGGACAGTTCCGATTTTACTTTTAAAATTATCACAGAAAATTAATAAATTTAAGTAAACATGATTTTGAAACATTTTTTCAATTTTTTTATTTAAATTAAATAAGGAAGAGACAAATAACTTTTAATTACAATATATTATATATACAATTCTAAAGAGATAAAAAGATTAAGGGATTCAGGAAGATGGAAGGACTAAAGGTGGCCATGGTCACGTTAGTTTGTAATTTACTATTCTATAGGAAGGCGTGGTGGACGCATGCAGGGGATTCTTGCTCGTTTGTGCGACATTGTCGACAACCCTATTATAACGACTCACCTAATCTTCTATAAGTAAGTCATACACCAGTATATAAAAAAATCATAGTTAGCGTAAATAAAAGTTTTTCCTAATTTTTTTTTCTACTTTTCTATAAACT